ATTATTAGATATAAGTTTTAAAAAAAGCGTGGGCGCTTATTTTGCTTACCTTGGACTAGCTAGCTTATGTAATGTACAGTGCGTGTAAACAGCACTATAAAGCCCTATCTCTACACCCAGTATGGGTACTGGGGGCTCCATACCTAATACAACCATTTTTGCTACACCTCCTCTTTACCTATTCTAGCGCTTCTACGCCATGAGGTGTCCGGGTTACCATGTCGGGACATTCTGTCACATACAGCGTGCTTCGGACACGGCGATCCAACGAGCGTTCAGCCTTTGGTAGCTATGTCACGCTATACATCTAGTGTATACAATGCCAAACACATCGGCATCAACTAGTAACAACGGCGTAATCGGTAATGTCCTCGCATCATCCATCGTCATTCCCGCTCTAAAATAGTTACATCGGGTTAGTCTAGCTCCGTAGTGTGACTATTGAATGAATGGAAAAGAGAAAGAGGGGCTCGGAGGGTAAGTACTATATAGTGTATTACCGAGATGAGCATTGAGGGCGTTGCGGAGGCAGATGTGTGTATGTATGTAACAACGTGATCGCATTCCCATCTCCCTTGCTTTTGAGGGGAGGTCGTATTCAATATCATTTCTCGAGCGAGCGGCCGCATTACTTGCGACCTACGAGCGGTGGCTCTTCCGTGATTCCTGCTGTTTGCTGGCTTGGTTCTCTACTTGGCCCTCACTAAATCATACAGCACGGACATTAGACTATAGTCACACGCATCCTCATCTCAGCATCACCCATTTCCATAGCACTGGTGTGGGAAACTACTGCAAGTTTATGTGTCAAAGGGTTGGCAACACGCCACACCCACTGCGGAGAGCAATTCCTATGCGTCGACGGATCGAGGGAGATGAGAACAAAAGTACCTACCTACAACTATAGGCGATAGGTAGCATCCATAGTGTAGCGTTATGCGCTAGATGGTTAGTCGTAGCTCTCAGCTGCTAACCAAGACTTTTTTTGCCTTGGTTCCCGACGACAAGTTATATATCAGAGAGTCTATCTCGAGCGGCTGAAATAAGCGTCAATGCAACTGAGTCAGTCACAAAGATTATTCATCTACTCATACGAGTGCCTACTCCGAGTTCTGCGCCGAGGTCTACGCCGAGGTCTGTGAGATTTCGTAGGCTATCGAGTGCCTGTACTGTGTCTACTGTATGTATGTAAGCCGTACATAATACGCTTCATAAATTTGTATAGGGGCAAAAACGACGCTGCAGTAGTCTACAAACTATGTATGTGTGTATTGTTGTTCCCCGGCTTGTCCGGTAACAGATTCAGGAGGGCTGGTCACAAGACTTGAGGAGCCTGTTTGGCTGCGGGCACTCAAGACATGTGGAGCGTTGGTTATATGGGTACATCTGCAAACTGTATAGGCTCGAATCCTATTAGTGTAGAGATATCTCCAAGCGTTATACCCCTGAACCTGGCTTGAGGTTCTACGCAGCATGTAGCTGCAGGCCCCCTGTCAATACACAGACCTTCATAAGCTACAGGGGCGCCGGAATACGCTAGGTATCCCTAATACAAGTTGTCGGGATCACTCTACTTCGAGTTTAGAGTCATCTTTGCCTATGTCCGAGTATGGTCAAGCCGCTCCTAGAATTCCTCGACTCATTCCATTCTAGGTCTAGATGGTGAGCCTAGATATTATTATTTTACGACATCGTTCCCACATTTTATCGCGACCAAGATGGTGTTTTCAGGAGTTACATCGACTCCTTCTTACATAGTACACTATGCTGTACATACAGCCCGTTGCGCGCTTTCTAGTAGGTAGGTAGATGCGCGCAATTATAGTACATTATTCCAGCTAAGAATACCTATTTAATTTAATATCTGATGTACCTACAGGGATAAACGGGCTGTCATCGAGCGAGCCTTGTGGTAAGGTGCCGTAAGTAGTGGTACCATTAACTACCACCACCTGCTTTACGCCTCGATCTCTTTTTTCCTCTTCATACCACTTCTTCCATGGTGGCGGGCGGTTGAGTCTCTTCCCTTCTATTTCCATGATCTTGTTGGGGGACCAGTTATGACGAATTGACTTCTCAAACTCCATGAGGTTTCAACGATCAACCGTCTATCATTGATTGCCTATCCTGTCGCTTCCGTTGTGACCTAGAATCCTCCTATTCAGGTCGAACAAAGGCCAGCTACCGCCTGGCTCTGCTTTGCTCTATTCTCTGACATGCCGTGTTGACGGGGGTCAAAGAGTCAATTCTCTTTGTTTATAGGCTGTGGTTAGCTGTGCGCGATCACCAATTCATGCACCGAAAGTCAGACCGGGACACTTTGCGCAATTCACTTGATACCAAGACCGAGTAACCAGCGCTCAGAAGTAGCTGTAACCCTCATGGAGGGCACTCTTCTTGTACCCCCAGATCGGGGTACGATCCTCGGAAGGGCTGTCTGGAAGGTAGCCACTCCACCATTACGCTCTTCTCCCGTCCTCTTGGAATGCTAACGGGTATTTTCTCTAGCCACGCCATGTTGTCATTGGCCCTTTAAACCAAAAGGACGGCCAGCAGTCGAATCTCTCACTTTCCCAGGTCCTGTCCAATGCTCGTGGGAAGGATGCAGGGGGTCGGTCTTCAAAGTCACAGCCGAAAGCTCCCACAGATGCCGTCTACTTATCAGTGTACAAGTCGAAGGTGCGCTCTAGATGATTTGAATGGCGCAACTTGCATCTGCTAACACGACTGCAGGAGGATAGTGAACCCATGTTTCAGCATTCGATTGCGTCGATAACAGACTGCCAAGTGCAGCAAGTTTCTCACCGGAAGCAGGGAAACGTTCTTCCCACTCTCACGATCCAAATCTCCCCCGATCCGGCGACCGACAAGTTGCGAAAGCGCCGATCGAGCCGGACCACCGGGTTAATTTCGAGGCAGGATTCCGGTCCAACAGTTTTATGGTTCGTGACTCCCGAAAAGTCGCAGTATAGCTTGGACGAATGGGCCAGATACATCCAGTTCCAAATACAGCAACAACAGTCTATGCCTCTGAGTCCGATCAGTCCTACGGCGCCAACGTTTATTAGCCCGTTTGCCCCGAAGCAGGATACGACTGAAAAATCATCACCGATGTCCAATGCGAAAGGAAAGTTAAGGTCGAAATTGCAATCCAAGTCGTCCGGTAGAACGCTTCCCTCGACACGCGATCAAAATTCTTTATACGCTTCTGGGTCCCCTAGCCTTCGCTCTCGCAAGAGTGACCTCTCCTCTCACGCAAGCTCTATGGTCCCAGCTGCCATGAATTTTGTGCAGCAGCATTACGCCAACATGCAGCAAGACTTGCCTTCTCCAGCTTCTACCGTCGAGGAGCATCCAGAGCACTTTATAGAAGGATGGACAACCGCACAAGGACGATCATCAGCTTTGAGCTCTCCCATTAGGGGTAGGGGTAGCGTTAGCTCGTCTCAGGATCCCAAACAACCTGGCATGGACTCCAGCCCGCCAGTGGTGCCTCGTGAGACCATTCTAGACCGCGCTTTTCAAATGCGATATATCCCGGGCTCCGAGCGAGAGATTGCGGGAGAGGAGAAGCTCACGTCACTCGCAAGATTTGAGGCACTGATGTGTGAAGCAGAAAACCGCCAGAGAAACGCTAGCGGTAGAGCGATAGCGCAACAGCCTCTAAAGAGCACATGGGATCACGACGAAAGTGACGAGGATGAGTATGGTGGGCTAGAAGATGACGGAGAAGATGACGACAGCGATAACTATGCCTTTGAGCAAAATATTGATCACGATGAGCTGGACCCTACGACTTTTAAAGCGCTTCGGTTCATCACCGACCGCCACAACTCGGCTTACACGGAATCCGCGCCCAGCAATGCGCCACCATCAGTATCGCGGCCGCAGACGGCACACTCACGAAACCGGCCAACAACCCAACGGGTGAGCAGTCAACACTATATTTCTGCGCCGCCTTCGAGACAGCCTGATGTGGCCGGGCTTCGGCGATCTCACGAGAAGCGGCATTCCACTTCCGATGTGAAGAATTTCAACAACTTCAACGATTTCACCAAGCGATTAAGCGGTACGAGTAGCTTACTCCTCGTACAATCAAACGCTAGTGCCGGTAGTAACCGTGGGAGCGGCGATTACGATGCGCAGCACACACCTCGTGGATCTATAAGTCCTCGAGGGAATGGCCAGACCGCAGATGAGCGTTGCCGATGGCGCGGCAGCATCGGAGTGTTTGGCAACGAAGGCGGATTTTTATGATTTAACACCACTACACTCGCTCTTTTACGAATTCAGTTCCGACCCCTCGACTGTATTAATTACGACTCAGCCCCTTGGCCTCTTATGTATGACTTTACGATAATCAACTACCGCCCAAGCGTTACGCGATATTAAACGGAACGGTGTTTCAACACTTTTTACGATTCCCTGCTTACGACATGATGTCGATGCTCTTTATAAAACTTTTCTTTACCATTATTCGGGACTTCGACACGAGCCAGAACAATGAGATGTTTGTAAACGATTTATCATGTTTGCAATCGAATTACCCGGGTACCGGGGAGAAGTTATGATTTTATACGTTTTAAACTGGTGGTCTTCGTGAACGAAATGTCCAATTTACACCTCTTGTCTCTTAGTACTAGACTTAAATTCTACCCTTCCAGTGACATTGGATGGGACAGTCAGTCTTGTCGGTTTCTGCGGAGACATGAGAAATAGATACCCCGGCGCGATATGAATACAATAAGCAGCAAATCAAACTATGAGGTTCATTATGAAGTGATTGATTTTTTTTTCCCCCTGGCCTATTATTGGTGCTATCTGCCATGGACAGAAAATCAAACAAAATTCAAGTAGTCGTTCATAAGCGGTTTCCAGCCGCGCTCACACCATACTCCTCCACCTACCCACTCTACCAACAAACTAGCCGGTGAATAGCAAAATAATTAATTCTACGCACACAAACAAGCAAGCACTGATCTGTAACTCTGCAAAAATGATGGACGAACGGGGAATTGAACCCCGGACCCTTCGCAGGCACTTGGTTCCGAGCATTCAAAGGTTACTCGGGCATGCAAAGCGAATATCATACCTCTAGACCATTCGCCCAAATATTCAGGTAGCTTGCTTGCTGGCAAGACCGAACGCATCGATCACGGGACTCGAACCCGCAACCCCAGACTGACTCTCTTATTAGGAGGTCTGTACGCTACCATTGCGCCAAATCGACGAGCGAGAGCTGCCGTTGCTAGTGGGCTTTGTCAAGAAGGTCGTCCGTCGATTGGAAGTTCCGGAGCCAAGACCGGCGAAAAGGGGGGTTTGGCGGGATGGATTATGTAAGATGACTGACTCGTCGTCAGGAGAACTGCCTACATAGTATATTCATTCCCATATAAGATTCCGGGCAAAATCAGCACAGTCCATCATCCCAACGCAACCAAACTCTCTAGATGCCTCTAGGCTTCTTGATTTGTTATACGGCTTGATATAACGATGTCTGAGTTCGATTGCGATCATCCCATAATTCGAGCATAGGGAAGTAAGCCCGAAGTGACAGAACAATCCTTCAAGTACATAGGATCATCCCAATCACTGGCCCGGACCTGTCACAAATGAGAAGCAGCAGTTATATGCACCAAGGCTACACCTAACAAGGGACCTGCATCCTGCTCGGGTCAGCTGATCGTTTCTCACGCGTATGCTTAAGCTGCTTATGCGTACGTAATGGTAGGTATCGCAACAGACCTAATGCAGTTATCATCCCAACAAGTACTGGGACATTAGACAGACGTTGCCAGACGATAGTACATAACCTATGATACAAAGGAACTTTAATCTTGTTTGTAGTGTTGCGATTTTCTAAGTATCAGATCGTACTAATGCAAGCATATCCGCAACCTGATCCTTGATATCTAGAGTACACCGTCGCGCCTTGACTTGTACTACCTCCTGAACAAACACTATTCGGAAATCAAGAGACACATTTTCAAGGATTCTGACATGCCGTGATCCTCCTCATATTAAATCCCCCGCATTGCATGAGCAAGGACTGTGATAGAGCGGCCGTTAGTATGTTGATCATGGTAAGGCGGTTACCGGGCGGCTGGCACGAAGCAGTGCGACATGTCACAACGTTTCTATCTTTTTCTTTTTTTATTATATAGATACCAATGCCTGTACGGCCATCGGAGGAAACGCCTATTAAAGCAACAATGATGGTAGCCTTGCCAGCTCAAGCCCGACTTCGCTCTACTTAATCAGCATGGAATGGACCGGCTACATCCAAATACAACAGTAGAAAGAGGCGGTATACCTGGCCTGGTTCTGAATTTAGGGGCCGTACTTCAGCTTCCTACGCCACCTGCCCAACATGCAAGACCAAGCTATCTTTTATTGCTGCTGTTCTAGAACTGACTCAGATAATCACACCGAGCAACGCCCGTTGCCAGCCAGCTCTCCGAGTGGAATAAGCGGTGACAAAACCCTTCTGCTTCATCTCAGGCACTCGCTCGATTCATAGCAGGATCTTACTAGCTTCGACTTGCTATCTATGTTTGCCGTCTGGAAATCGAATATGGCTTCGAATATGGCTTTGCGAGATATCAAATTTACTTTTGTTTCACAAAACTACATGTATCTACGTGTTGGGGCGCTGGCCCCGGATCGGATAGTTGCAGCACCCAAGAAAAAAAGGGGTAGCAAAAGCAAACAAAGACGGTGAGCACTAAATAATCGTGGCTAACACCGGCAGCAGCCTGACTTGCACGCCAAGATTTGCTATAGTCCTCTCTTTCGAATTTCGATTCTCTTGAACAACGACTTGAACGGCTAATGATGATTACAAAGTAAACAGAGTAATGATATTTTCGGATCTAAGGTATGATACGAGAACTGTGTGCCTGCTCAACAATTCACTTGTCCTAATCAGCCAGCCGGCCAAGCCAGGGCTCCCAATGCAATGTGTATCTATGTATTTACTGCCATAAACCCCAGAAGTAGCGGAATGACTGCTACTATGAATAAGCACCATGGCTGGCTAAAGCTGCTCGTCGCAAAAGAACACCTAAAACTCCGCATCTCATGTTCATGGCTACAATTGGTCTTGCTAGCCGGGTATTTCTAACAACAGACTGACGATATTCCCTCTCCTGACAATTCACTTGTATGAACTCTCTGGTTGGAGGGTGCTGGTCCCCTCACATTCATTATGCTAAATCCTTTTGCGCCCACGAACTCCCGACAAAGTTTCGACCAAAAAAAAGCTGGTCAATTTTGACCACCCCGTCTTAACATAGCTGTTGTATCGCTTCGGCTTCTATCCCTACCAGCGCCTTGGCGCACAGCGTCACTATAACTGGGAATCGGGGGGTTGTTCGGGCGGAATACGGCCAGAGAAGCTCCACGGCTCCGCACTGGGGTCCTGATTAATGGAGTATTATCGCTGTCAGAGCCGCTGCCTGAGCTATCTTCGTCGGAGTGCTGGGGGCTGCTATATTCGGGTGGTGGGTGTGAAGCTTCGTGCAGACCTAGGCCGGTGATGTTGACCACATGATCCCCAGAAGGTGCGAAGCCATGACTACCGCTGCTCCCCTCGCCTGCCTCGTCCGTGGGAACTAACTGTGCTAGAGAAATGTCCGTAGGGCTTCTCTGTGGTCCTGGGCTGGTAGGTGGAAGGACTCGATAACTGCCACTGCGCGTCCGTGCGTGGCTAGAATCTAACATCGGACCCCGGTTGGTATATGGCTGAAACGATTGAGAATAGGGGTGGGTCTGAGATGGCGATCCTGGAGTCTCGTCCTTCCTACGACCGGATTCGAGTAGGATGCTACCTTGTTCGCTTCCGTAGGGTGGCGGCGGCGCCAGGCTGCCAGTCATCGGCGCAAGCCCCCATTTCTTTACGTTGGCCTCGATGAATACGAAGCCGGCCTGTCCGAAATTGACGTGGACGATACAAGGTCCATTAGCGCCAACTGAGGGGAAGAAGTTCTGCGATTTCAATCCATGTACAACATCATCTAACCGCCTGCCATTCCGAGTGAAGAAGATAGTACCGGTCCGAGGGCGGTACCCCACACCAATAACGTCACCCTGGACAATCGGAGGCCCATAAGGAGTGGGCGTGAAGGGTTGGTTGTATCTACGCGCACCTACTGATGTGTAGGCAACAGAGTATTTATGGTGTCCTGAAGATAACACTTAGTAAAAAGGGTACTTCGGGGATTGTATGGCGCACGTACCTGGAAGCCTAAACAGCGGATAGGGTTTCGTAGACATTCCGATGCTCAGTAATGTGGCTTCAGGTTTCTCATATATCTTTGCTTCCCAGTAGTAAACTTCGTTTTGCTTTGGCACAGGTAGATTGCTCATGACCGTACACTCCGAGTCGAAGAATTCGATCTCGGTCCTGGCTTCGACAAAGCAGTTCGCGATCTCCAACTCCGGCTCAAACTCCCATGCTGAGACACCCTTCTCTTGAATGGCTAAATATTGCGATAATGAAATGTCCGTCTGAACCGACTCGGGTGGATTTGCTTGTATAAAGGCTGATATCTAGTTAGCTCAGAACACACTATAGCATTGTATGCAGCCAAGTCATGTTTCTTGGACGTAGAAGGAAGAGGCTCTACCTTTGGCTCTGAGATACTCGGTTCTCTGCATATCATCCATCGTCTCTAGGGCCTCAGCCTCTTCTCTCGCGAACGCCTGCTCGTCATCGTATTCGCCGGGCCGGCCGATCCGGTCAAGGAATATGCGACCAGAAGCAGTGTTGCGGAAGAAATAAATGACGAGGAAGATCACGGCAACTATGACGGCAGAGCCAAAGGACGAGAGGAGTCCAATGACGATGCCATCTAAAGGAGTCGTCATATTGGGCATGTGGTGCTCGCGTGTCGAGATGGAACCAGCGAGATTCAAGGCTTGGACGTTACCGTCACCGGGTGGACACAATCATTCGGTCGCGGACTCGTCGAGGGCGCACACCTCGATGTTGTAAGTGATAGATAATATAACACGAGCGATATATATGAGGCCCTGAGGCCAGGCACAATCAAACCGCTAGACAAGTTCAGCTAAGGTGTGGGATGTTCGAGGTGATCGAAATGGTCGGAATAGTCGTGGTACTAGTGGTCTTCCCGGTCGTCCGTGCTCGCAGTCTCAATTGCCCGACGGATTCGACGATGGAATGTGGTGGCGATAAGGCGAGAGACGCTATGACACCGTTCGTTCGTTCGCGGTCGGTGTGGGGGGAAATGCGGGAAGCGATGATGGTGATGTCGATGGAAGTGGAAATAGAAATGGCGGAACAAAATAGAAGGAATATGCAAAGGCGGCAATGCGGGAAAGAGAAGCGAATGGTATCGCTATCAACTGTTGAGACGACTAAGTTTAGGTGAGGTACAATAGCAAGCCAGCTTGGAGGAGGAATGGTAGATAAAATGGTGTGTATGCGTAATGGTACTGCAGAATGAGAATGTAAGTATGTGTACGGAGTAGATGGAGAGGGTAAAGGGCGGTGCAGTCGGTACCTGATGCGACTTGTTACAGAGAGAGAGTATTGGGGTTAATGCTATGTACCAAATGGGGGATGCAGGTGGACGATAGACCGCCAACCATACGACGAAGCGGTCTCGGTTTGGCCCTTTCCTGCTTCACGTTGTGGTGTCTCCTCGATACCTGCTGCTGAATGCTGTACAAGTAGACCTGCAGTGTACAATCCTGTCCTGTAGGCACAGCGAATTGCGTCGGATTGGGCGGGAAGAGTCGTAATGGGTGTGGGTCTTTTCCGGATTTGTAGCTCTCTGCTGGGTCTACTGGGTCTAGATAGTGGGGTGGGTCAATGCCTACGCACCTCGAATAGTACACTGAGCACCTAGCGCAGGTACTGTACATCCACCCAGAATAGCTTGTTAGTGGTTTACCGTTACGTCTAAGCTTGTTCCTTAACAGGATGCGGAGAGAGTTGGGATTTGTCGCTACTGTTTTCCTGCAATGCTAAGTAGTGTACGGAGCACCAGGTAGCAACACTGGAATACGGCGTTGACGAGATGGTCCCCTCCAGTCCCGGATGTCTGGTGGCAACGCATGTGTGATTTGGATTTAATCCACCA